TACACAAATTCAGTCTTAATGAATTATGGATAAAAGTAAGTAAGTTTCCATTTGCTCAACCATTTCCTATTGGAAAATGAAGTTTTCTCGCCGTATTTCTCAAGAAAAAATGAAACCCTTTAGTCATTTAGAAATGAAAGAACTTTATTTTTCTATACGCCGCATAAATTAATGAAATTACAGACAGCGTGGCATGATGAAAGCCAGAATGGTAAGGACGAAAACAAATGACTCGATGGATGAAGTGCAGAATAGTACCACTGTAGGTCACAAGGTAAAATAAGATTTTAATAGGTTACTTCCTTATCTTTAGGCATCTTCATCTTCCACCTGAAAAATAAAAATATATACTTCAGTACAATAGCACCGCAAAACCGTAACGCTGAATTAGGTTGAATGTGAAGCAGAATTCTACCACTATCACTACATATAAACCTACAACCCAGATTATTATAAATTATCTACCCACACAGACTTAGGGTAAAGTTTTGAACCTGCAACGTGTAATGATACAATCTCACAAAGACAAATTCTGTGCCAAAGCCATGTGTTACAACACAGAAAATCGCAACACAAAGGGCACACAGATAAGCAGTAATGAAAGTTCTTCTCCATGTTCTATTTTGATGGGTGTGAGTAAAGATCAGCTGGTTAAGTACGTCACAAAACTGACTCACTTTGTTTGATTTTGTATCTTGACCCTGTGAAACTTGTTAATATTTTCACATAGTAACAACACTACATCTGAACTGTGGGTATTAATGTCTTATGTGTAAGTGTATGCTGGTGCTGCGTTACTTGCTGCTGTTTCATCCCAACATTGAATTTAATAGAATATAACTGAATTTTGATATTTTTTGTTCTTGTGAAATTATGGTGGAAGTTGTGAAGACTCTTTTTCAGCTTCCATACTCTCGCAATATATGGTACATAATAAGCAAAATTAGGAGCCCAGATTGCTTGAAAATCATACTCCCCCCACAAAGTGCTTATCTTCTGTTTCGTTATATTATTTATCAAAAAAAAAAAAAACCGTGAAGCTGTGATATCTAATAGATTGAGATTTACTCAATTTGATAACTTTTATTTTTTTCACTGACTTAGTTTTTTTAAAGAACCAGTACAACTAAATAAACAGTGCTAAGACATTACTATTTATTTTGTTTATCAGCAGTGAGATTCAATGATAATTAATACCTGTCGTTAGGGTAGGGGAGGGGTTACTGACTACAGGGTCTTGTGCCTGTTGCATGACGCATCTATATGGGATATTCCTCATTCATACGTGTCACTCCTGTATACCACCCACTGCTGGATTTGTCAAAATAAGCATACAGCCCATCTGCAGAGCCTGAGAACAGTCACCTTTTCATCGACCTGGTCATGTGTGGATGTGTTTTCACGTTCCTCTGGTGAAGGTTTTTCCTTCTCTTCCCCCTCAGCTGGCCTTCGCCAAGTTTGGGAGGGTCACCTTCCAGTCTTTTGGTGTCTGGGTGTCTGGGGTTGGACTGGAGTCGCCTCTCTCAGGTTTATCATGGCCTAGTCGAGATTGATATAAATCCTGTTCAACTGTCCCTACATTCTTACTTCTCCTTCTTCTGTACAACTCTTTCCTGTCTAAGCTCCTAGGATTTCTGTGTTCAAGTCACAATTTATCAATGGTGAGCAATGTCCTCTAATTCACAGCAAACAGTGGAGTAAAGCCTGTTGTCTCTCTCTATGTAAAGAACCCCTCCTTTAGACAGCAGTTTTTGGCAATCTCTCTGAACAACCTTCTCTGCTTTTGTTGTTTCTTCAACAGGTGATCCACTGGGTTTAGTTCATGCTAACTCTTCTGACACTTGAGACTTTTACCTATTTATTCTACATTCCTACCAATCTTCTACACCCAATTTTATTTGACTAAGCCCTGAAAATGTCTCATATATTACCTAGATAAATGTGATTAGCATGGCTGTGTGAAGCATTACCTTGTCTTCTCCATGATCATCTTGAGCTTCAGCTTCATCAGCCTGTTCCTCCTTAGGCTGGTCCTCAACTGTTTTCTTTTAGAGATCGCTTTGTGTTTCTGCCGCCGACTCTGAATCTTTCGGCTGAGTAGAGTCACTTGCTGTCCCTAGTTCTGTGTTCAGCTCTTGGTTTGCAACCTGAGTGGAGTCTCTCTCTGGTTCAGCATTGGGGTCTGGGTTTGTGACCTGAGTAGAGTCACTCCCTGGTTCTGTGTTGGGCTCTGGGTTTGTGATCTGAGTAGAGTCACTCCCTGGTTCTGTGTTGGGCTCTGGGTTTGTGACTGGAGTAGAGTCACTCCCTGATTCTGTGTTAGGCTCTGGGTATGTGATCTGAGTAGAGTCACTCCCTGGTTCTTTGCTGGGCTCTGTGTTTGTTACTTGAGTAGAGTCACTTCCTGGTTCTGTGTTGGGCTCAGTGTTTATAACCTGAGTAGAGTCACTCCCTGGTTCTGTGTGTTCTGTGTTTGTAACCTGAGTAGAGTCACTCCCTGATTCTGCTTTGGGCTCTGTGTTTGCAACCTGAGTAGAGTCACTCCCTGGTTCTGTGTGCTCTGTGTTTGCGGCCTGAGTAGAGTCACTCCCTGGTTCTGTGGGCTCTGTGTTTGCGGCCTGGGTAGAGTCACTCCCTGGTTCTTTGCTGGGCTCTGTGCTTGCGGCCTGAGTATAGTCATTCTCTGGCTCTGTGTTTGTAACCTGAGTAGAGTCGTTGGCCAGAACTGTGCTGGCTTCTGCGGGTTGAGATGAGTCCTGAAGCAGTGCCTGTCAAAAAAAATACTCTACTGAGTTTTCCCTGCATCTGCATTTCCAAGATTGGTTGTCCCTACACAGATCTGCTGATTTTGCCCTGCGCTCTGATTCAAATTGACAATAGAGTGAACTTCAAATCTGGGTACACATGAAGACCTAATTCTACCCATTGCTGGTTTTGAGTGAGATTGACTAATAGAAGATCTGACTGATTTTAAGTTTTCACCTGTTCCTCTTGGTCTTCGGAAGGCTCTGGCCTGGTTTTCTGCATGGGCATCTCCTCTGGTTCCTCCTGAGATGTGCCCACCTGAGCAGGTGCAGGGACCCCTTTCAGGGCATCCGCTACCTCCGCCGGAGGGGGTGCTGTGGCATCAGACACACCTCCATTATGGGTCACCTGATAGAGACCGCCCCACCCACACCAAACTGATGTGAAATATACTTTACTCACCTCAAAGCAGGTAAGGGGGGGAAGGACAAAGGCATCTATACCGAAGCTCTTGATTACACAGCGACCACAGACAGGAAGTGAAGAGGCCCTCTACCAAGTCTCTTTAATTTAAATTTAATTACTGTATGCTTTTGGAAATTGTCACCTCCATGTTTGGGAGCCATAATGTCTGGGACTAATAACTTCCTCATTTGAATGGACGAATAGTCACACTGTCCAAGCTTGTTTTAGGCTCAATGGGGAGTTACATGCGGAAAAGAACAATGAACAGACACCGAAAACAGAATTACAACGCACATAATGTCTTACACCTTTTAAAAACAGGGGGATAGCATCCTTACCAAAGCTCCAGAGGCAGGACCAACATCATGCAGGAAGCCAGAATCACCAGTAACCCTCACCCAATGCAGAGGACAGGAGCCAATCACACCAGAATGCACCACGATAGAAAGAGGAGTTCTCAGCACAAACAAGGAAGCAAGCAAAAAATCTGATGGCTCTTTATTACTGTCAATGGCAATGGGACAATCTCATGCATTTCATCCATAGACACTGAAAACAACAGGGGGAGCCAGTTGGGTCGGGCCAATCAGATTTTTGCCATTATTGTCCATAGACAAGGGGGGCGGACACGTGTGCCTCTGTCACCTCCTTGTCCTTGTGATCCTCCAGTATGTCGTTATGTGAATCTTCATTGTTGTCCTTAGGTTCGTCAGAAGCAGTCTGCTTTTCTGGGTTCACGGTTTCAGGTGGAAGGTCCTCTGCAGTGGTGCTTTCCGTTACCTGATTAGCCTCGTTAGCCACTGTGGTAGGTATCTGCTCAATGATTGAGTGAAATGAGAGCTGAGCTGATCCACTCTCTGACTGGACCTTCCCTACATCTTTCCTTCCTCCTCTTCTTCCTCAGTTTCCTCCACTATCTCTAGTCCCTGTAACATCAAATTAACTCCAAAGACACTGGCTGGGTTTTAAAAATACAATTATTCATCCCATTTTTTTTCATATCAGAACCCTGTGCTGCATAAATGCTGTTAAATTGCCGATATGGTACCGTTAACGCTTTACTAAGAAGAGACACCTTGCAAGGTGTGGACATTTGTGTACAGATAATTAAAAGTAATATTTGGTATTTTTCTTATGCCTACAGAATTTCTTCCTATAAACCCTCCTACTAATATTTCTCTCAAAATTCTACAAAGCATTAGGCTATACTGTGGTATTTTAAGGCCTTTGAGGAAAAAAAAATGTACAGCTTTACAAAACAATCACAGTAAAAAAACAAATTTTCTTTTTGTTCATTTTTTAAGTGTGGAATGGCGGTTTTAATGACCTACCCCATCTCCTGCTTCCGGCACTATGGCAAGTGTAGCAGGGGCGTGCTTTATCGACCGCTCCAACGGTGTCCTTTCTGGGGTGGGTGCACGTTCCAGTGGCTGATGGGATACAGAACTATCATGTAATGGCACACACCGCAACACAGCTACAGCATCATCGGGGCTGTGGTAGGCATTGGATGGTGTCAAACATGAACCACTTGGCCAGGGGGTCCCGCATGGCCATTTCAGGGGGCTGTAAGATTTGGGATTTCATATTCTTAATTATTTTCCTGTTGATCCATTTGGATTATGGGAATTTGGAAGATGCCCTTCCCCACAGAGACTTTCGCAGCTGGATGTTTTTGCTGGCCCTTCCTTGGGGGTGTGCCCTGCAGCTATGGGGTTTGGAGACCTAACTCTCCTGTTACCTAAATTGCTACAAGTTGGGATTCATGTAACATTGCCTTCAAAAGGGCATGAGCCAGCCAGGAGTTGGACCTAGAATCTTCTGATCCGTAGTCAGATGCGTTATCCATTGGCCCATTAAAACAAATGCACAAAACTGAAAAAAAAAAAAAAAACTAAAATTTTACTATTACAAAAAGCTGAGAAAATGCTCTGTGCCTTGTAATTAAAGACTTGGTACGAATCAGTAATTAAATGAAATAACAGTTGAGGTATGAATATTTCCAGTTTTTTAGAGACCTAACTACTTTTACCAAAAATTGCTACAAGTTGGGATTCATGTAACAGCGCCTTCATGAAAAAGGCACGAGCCAGCCAGGAGCCGAACCTAGAATCTTCTGATCTGTAGTCAGACGCGTTATCCATTGCGCCACTGGCCCATTATAACAAAACACTTAGTGCGCAAAACTGAACAAAACCTGAGAAAATGCTCTGTGCATTGAAATTAAAGACTTGGTATGAATCAGTAATTAAATGAAATAACAGTGGAGGTTTGAGTATTCCCTGTTATTTAGAGACCTAACTCTTCAATTACTACAAGTTGGGATTTATGTAGCATTGCTCTCAAAACAGGACGAGCCAGCCAGGAGTCGAACCTAGAATCTTCTGATCCGTAGTCAAACGTGTTATCCATTGCGCTACCAGCCCGTTACAACAAAACACTTAGTGCCCAAAACTGAAGAAAGAAAGAAAGAAAGAAAGAAAGAAAGAAAGAAAGAAAGAAAGAAAAAAAAAAAAAAAAAATTAAATTTTACTATTACAAAAAGCTGAGAAAATAAACTGTGCCTTGTAATTAATGACTTGGTATGAATCAATAATTAAATGAAATAACACAGGAGGTCTGAGTATTTCCAGTTGTTTAGAGACCTAACTACTATTACCAAAATCTCTACAAGCTGGGATTCATGTAGCATCGTCTTCAAAAAAAAGGTACGAGCCAGCCAGGAGTTGAACCTAGAATCTTCTGATCCGTAGTCAGACGCGTTATCCATTGCGCCACTGGCCCATTATAACAAAACACTTAGTGCGCAGAATTAAAAAAAAGCTGAGAAAATGTTCTGTGCATTGAAATTAAAGACTTGGTATGAATCAGTAATTAAATAACACTGGAGGTATAGGCATTTCCAGTTGATTAGAGACCAAACTCTCCAATTACTGAAATCGCTACAAGTTAGGATTCATGTAGCACTGCTCTCAAAACAGGACGAGCCAGCCAGGAGTCGAACCTAGAATCTTCTGATCCGTAGTCAGACGCGTTATCCATTGCGCCACTGGCCCCATGCTAACAAACGTGTTGTGTGCAAAGCTGAAAAATATGAAAACTTTTAACATGAAAACATACAGATAAAATACTCTGTTCCTGAAAGTATACATGTGGAGTGAATCAGTAATTGACTGAAAACACACTGGGCATAATTATATGCCCAGCACCCTAACCGTTATGCTACGCCACCACCCCCACATTCTTACCTTGAGCTGTTCCTCCATGGCTCTGATGTGGACCTCCTCCTCCTTCAGCCTCCTCAGATACTCAGCCTCTTCCCCCGCCATCTGTCGCTCCTCCTCCAGATGCTTCCGCTGTGCATTTCTCTACGAATGGAACGCAAGCAGATGGTGATGCTACTGGAATCTAGTGTCTTCTGCACAAAACCTTGTCACACCTCAGATCAGAGGCCCCTATAATTTCACATTGGGGAGATGGTCACAGCTCTCTGAGGTGTTAAACAAACATTTTACATTCACAATTTCCATAATTAATTTGGATTAAACTGGTCTGGTATAGAGTTTAAATCTGACCTAAGACTGCCCCCTAATGGTGCATACATGGTGGAAAATGTTTTTAAAAAGATTACTTGATCAGTAGGTTTAATGGCCGTATTACACTTTAAGATAAAGTTCCGTAGACACCTTTTCCTCGTAGTCCAGATTCTCCTTATATTTGTAAATCCACTGGGCCAGGAAATCAATTGGGTCCATGGGTCGCTGCTCCGCTATTTCAGCTAATCCCTCGACCAGACACTTCCCAATGCTTGTTTTCAGATATTCAGAGTCCATTTTAATTGCTGAAAATTACAGTTGTGGATTTTCTGAAAATATAACGTTAAATACCGTAACGTTAGTATATAAAACTAATGTTGCTGTTTTGTTTGATAGATTTCTTCATAACCACACATCGTAATTACACCTCATGAATTCGTTTGATATCTAAAGAGCACATGTGTATTTTTAGTAACTAACTAGCAAGCCATCTGACAGCTCCACAGGTAAAAGATTATACAATGCGTTATGCCGCAAACGTTAACCAATTCATAAATACCGACCTAATTAACTTAACAACCTACAGTTGGTACATTTATCGAAATGAATAACTTTATGTTCTTAAGTTAACTAGTTAACACCCTTATCAGGCAAGCAGGTTAGCTAGTGCTAGCTGGATATCACAAGCTTGAAAAATTGCAAGATGATTTAGCTTACTAGTCTTACTTCTTTAGCCGACGAACCAACAAACTGGAATCAAAATAGATTAATTCACACAGCTCTCGTGAATGAAGCGGTTTACCTAAATTAATAAGTAAGGACTTGGACTGTTACTGCATATTATAAGTGCCTAATTAGCTGACAACCCCTTGACTTTTCTTGTTGACTGCCAGATGGCGTCAAAAAACCGAGTCTCATCTCCATAGAAACGGTGCACCAACATCCTCCTCCTTCCTACTAGTACAGGATACAACTTAATGACAACAGTTCCTTCTTTAGTGTTAAGGTTTACAAACAAGCTACATTTATACAGTTGTTAAGATATGTTACATTACTTGGTCAGCTGATACATTTTTACATGTTATGCAGCACTAGATAACTTTTGCATTTTACACGAGAGGGGTTTGTTTTAGCTACTTCGTTTAGCACGCGCTACAATGACGTCCCATGACAGCGCGCAGTCAAGTGCAATCCCATCATTACTGTATCATCTATGGTTAAAGGTAGGGAAAGTGGACTTCTGTTTGCTAACTAGTTATCATGTTGACAATGGGATGTGTGGACCCTTTAGTGCAAAGTAAAAAGAAACACTTCTTTCCTTACTGTGACTGATGGTTAGAAAAAGAGTCCATGTTTGAAGACGCTGAAATATATGTCTTGTTGAGGTAATGTTTTGATTTTTAACACGCAGCATTCGTGAATAGTCAATACACTGAAAGCAAACCCAATTAACCATCCGGACCTCTTAAAAAGAGTCTTTCTCAACATAAAATGGTCCCTGACCTATAACCTCTGTTAACTTCTGGCTGACCACACACACACTCTTCCAAGCGCTATTATTTAATTGATCACTGTATCTAAGTCTCATTCAATGGCATGTCGATGCTTTTTCAATTAACTGAAATGAACCTTATTTTCAAACTTCCTACTGCAAATGGGAATGTTTTTTTTAAATGAAATTATTATCATGCACTTATTGATAAATACCACATCAATTTCCATCTAGTTTCCAGTTGTACTAGCTATATATTTAGGGTCGTGAAATTGGATATTGCCTGGAGAACATCGCTGGTGGAGAACCACTGCTGCCGGTCCAGGATAGGAATGTGCTGAGAGCCCGATCGGGACGACATCCCATCCTGCAGCTGCCGCGTTCCTCTCCACTGCTGGAAGCAGGGAGGAAAGTAGATCCCTAGGCCACTGGAACTAGCACTGGCGCAGCCAGTTACATTCGCCTCCTCTTACACCCATGTGCGCCTGCTCACACCCAGGGGCTCGACCACCTGCACGTGACCACGCACTGGTCATCTTTCAGTATCGGGTCAGTATCCAGTGTAATTGATTTTAAGAGGAGGGGGTGGGGGTGAGGGTGAGGGTGGGGTGGTGGTGGTGGTGGTGTGGTGTGGTGTTGATGATGATGATATATTCACAAGGTTTTAATACTTGTGTGAAGGAGTGGCCCTTCCATGATGATTACCTTTGTTAACAAGGTAATTTGTTAATTGTAACCAGTCAGTATGCAACACCTGTGTGATTGGAACCAGGTGTACTTGAGCTGGCCTAGCACATAAATGTGGCAGTGTATCCCACTTCTGAAACCAAATTTAAAAAAAAAAAAAAAAAAAAAAAACAACTGAGTAAAAGACTGGTTAAAACAATAATTTATTTTAAAAAACACAAGCACAAAATAGTGCCACTCCTTCCTTCTCCTTATACACTGCCACTTTTTGGCAGTGAGGCGTTCTGATGTGTTGATCGCCCTACTGAAGGCCGAGAACCTGAATGCTGCATACAGTGACTGGAGCTCAACATCAGCATAGTTTGGGCAGAGTTTAGATCAGGAGGCACCTCCTGATCTCTGGTCTAGAGTTCGATATTAATAGTAATAGCAGCTGCAATAATCATGAGAAGAACATACAACAATAAGTGTTTGCAGGTGTCCATCTGTGTTTAAATTGTCATGGTGGTGTAATACAAAATAAGATATAAAATAATTATTTCTAATTGATAATATTGTGATGTTGTGATATATGATATCCATTTTACTACCTAAGGACAGGTCAATGAGTAAAACTTACCGTTTAAAACTGGCAGAATTTGAAGTTGGTTGCGTTAGTTGGTTGCATCATGATACATATATGAATAATAAGAAAATCTCAGAAAATCATCATATAGATTCTGTCTTGCAGAGCTGATGTACAATTGGAAAAGAAGACACACAACATCAATGAGAAAGCGAAGAGCTCTGGTCTCAGGTTGTTTTCCTCTCATGTGATCATGTTGACAGAATGAGACACGCGAGTAACTTAGGCATTGTAAATCTGTCACATGTCATTTCCACAGAATGCTCTGATCTTCCAGGACTAGGGTGTGTGTTGAGAAAGTTGCACATTGTTTACATTCAGTTCTGAGGGGCATACGTGCAAATATGTTTGTGAATGTGTGGAGGAAGATGTTGTGTGTTGACAGTTTTTACAATGTGTTTTGAACACGCAGACCAAAACATCTTGCCAACATTGGGTGATTCATTCCAGACGTGTTTATTAAGACAATTTGAGTATAAATTCGACTATGTACATGTGACGAAGAGTTAGTGAGCTGAGAATTGAGAATGGATGATGGAAACAGAGAGCACAATCTCTCTGGCTTAGTTATAGTCCAACATCCCCACATAATCAAAGGGAAAACAGTGTGTTTGGATCTTAGACAAACTCTGGGTGAGGAGGATAGTTCAGAGGCTGAAGAGTTAATAGAAACTCACCTAAAATCTCTGAATCCTCCTCTCTCCTCCCTCCCTCTCTCTCCCTTGCTGGAATGGACTGTCCCAATGGCTCACATGACCCGCCTGTGTGTGTGGGTGTGTGTCCCCCTCCAACCATATATAGAAGCATGTTGTGTTTGGAGACCTCCACGGCCCCAGTTCAATAGAGAGTGATTCCAGCATAGGACAGCAGACTGTTCCCAGCTTCAGAGAGTTAGCACACCCGGGTTAAAGTTCCTGCAGTCTTCATTGTCTCAGCCTGCTAGCTGGAGGCAACGGAACACATTCCTGTCCTTTTGTCATAGCTTCTTTCTTTTGTATTTGTTCTCTGAACCTGTCGCATCCTGGTCCCTGAGACATGAACGGTCCATCGAATGGCTGGTATGACTGTCTCCATGAAGATGGGGCT